ATTTCTAAGTGGTAAAAAGTTATATTCAGCACGCTAGGCAGGCTCTGACTATTTCAAAAGTAGAGAATTTGTATACTTTTAGTTTATAGCAACCCCCTACATAGTCACTGACAGCTCATAACCCATCTACACGAACAGTCCTCACAACAGATGCAGGCTGGTGTGAACGTACCCACTCACCTGAACTCCCCACCCTGGAAACAAAGTTTCCTGCACGTCCGTAAGCAGCAGGCAGCTGCAGCTGCCAACACAGTATCTGAGATGCTCCCAGAATACAAATGCGAAAGCAAAGATTTTTCAATAAGCAAATAGAAAACAAAACACGATGAGGAGTGTGAATCAAATACTGAAATGAAAAGTCATAGGCCTTTTAAAAACAAACCTAAAAATATAAAGTAGAAAAGAAACAATCGGGAAAATATTCGAGGAGCATGGTACCTGGGAGAAGCACAGGACATGACCTTAGAACTGTCTGAGAAAAGCCCGGGTTGGGCAGGTTAATGGATCTTGTGTGAGGAAGGCGTTTTCACTTTCCTCGGCTGAACTTATATGTAAATTGGAAAGCATGTTACTACTTCTACCACAGGCTTACTTTACAGCAAAACTGAGATGTGCCCTGGCTGGTGTGGCTCAGTGGGTTGAGCACTGGCCTGCAAACAGAAAAGTCACTGGTTCGATTCCCAGTCAGGCACGTGCCTGGGTTGTGGGCCAGGTCCCCAGCTGGGTGTGTGAGAGGCAACCAGTCACTGTATCTCTCACACATTGATGTTTCTCTCCTTCTCTTTCTCCTGCCCTTCCTGTCTCTAAAAGTAAATAAAATCTTTAAAAAAAAAAGAGAGACTAAATGAGATAATCATACTAACACACTTAACAACAGTCTTAATGCCAAATTTTATTGACCCTGAATTTGTCAACTGTGACATATAAAATACCTACATTTTTCATTATGCCATTCAGTCCAAATTCAAATTCATTCATTCAGTCCACCTTTTTACTAAGATTCAACTGGCATTTATTCTCATTGACTTGTGCCCCATGCCTGGTGCCTTAACATCACATTTAACATCTGCAGCAAGCCCACGATGCAGGTAGCATTTGCTCTATTTTAAGAGAACGGAGGCCCGGATGACAAGTTTTCGTTTTTGCTGTTCATCTGCAGCTGCAGTATGGAAATATGTCTGGTCCAGTTCTCCATTTTTTAAATAGACGTATGAATCAGCTGCCAGCCTCTGTGTACTGGGCCAAAGGACAGTTGGCTTAGCTTCTGTGAATACCTACAATGGTTTCCTAATTCCAGTTTCCTAATTCCAAAGGCTCACTTATTAAGCAAGTGTTTCTTGTGTATAATGCAGTGCCAAGGAAGACACAAAACACAGGTAAAGAGCATCCCAGGGACCGCGTGCAGGACAGAGCCACGACGACAAAGATTATTTTAGATCACTCTGTTTGCAGAGAAATGGAATGGACCGGGAAGCAGCTGGAAATGAGAAGGAAGCCCCACCTGTGGGCGAGGTAGGTGGCGGTCACTGCCAAGCCTGGGAAAGAGAAATAGAAGACATGCCCCAGAGCTTGACATGAGAGAGGATGAATGAGAAAAATGAGTCAAGGGGTGATGGAGGTTAATTACGTAAGGAGTTCGGGGAAGAGAGATGTCCTGCATAGACACATGGCATTTAGGAAAGAGGAGGATGAGCCACAGTGACCTGGAGGCATCAGGGCGAGGGTGAGGGAGAGCTGGCCCGTGCACCGTGCAAACTGTGGAACTGGAGCTGTGGCTGGGAGCCGAAGCAGAAGCCACAGGACTGCGCTGCAGCAGGAGAAGATGAATCGAGCTATGGGACAGAGCCGACGCTGGGAGAAAGCGCTTAAAAGCTAATGAGCCGAAGTTCAAGGACTGACACCTAACATGAAGAAGGGGCCAACTCAGTCAAATTTTTGACGTGAACGAAAATAAAATAGATTTAGATGACATATTAAATTTTAGATGATTTTTAGATGTTAGATAATAAAGAAATTATATTTTACCCCATTTTTTCTATGCCCAAGAAAGTTCAAGTAGCAATAAAAGAGAAGGCATGGGCACTCCAAACTCTGTCCACTTTGGGAAGCATTGCATTCAGGGAAAAGAAACCGTGGCTCACAGTGAAATTCCTTGAGCCAGACGGCTGATATTCATAATGGGAACTAAGCAGCAGTGTGTAAGACAGCTCCCAGCAGCCAGTCTCGGGGGTCCCAACGTCCTACAGTGACCGGCTCACCGGAACTCATCAGTTCACTATTTTCCTCACTCATCCCACTTTCCGCAAGGCACTCAGCCTGCCACGGAGAACACAGAGGTGGGTGAGACACACTGTCTGTTCCTGTGGAGCTGACGGGCCAGCCCGGGACCCCGTGCATCCTGCCTCTTTGCTTCCCATCCAAACTGATCGGGGCTGAACCGCAGTGATGCTTCCCATTTTCCTTTGGCTATGTACTATTCATGGAGGAAGGCTGGGTGCTTGTTAATCAGCAAGTGGAGGTCTTCTTTTAGACGAATGATATGGTGGCTAGGAAAGGTGATAAATACAGGCCCAGGTGGTCACATGGTTTCACTGGAGTATGTGAGTACTTCCTGTTACCCCTCCAGAGGCCCTCTCCGTCCCTCACCCAGTGACGGGTTTGCCCTACCAAGGGCTCCCTGTCCTCGATGAACGCTGGGAAGAGGAATGTGAAACGGGAGGGAGAAGGATGCCCTGCCACCTGATCTCCCTTCTCATTGCTCTTTCCTATTTAAAGCAAGAGATGATGGTTAAATTAAAAAAAAAAAATTCTTTTTTAAAATTAAGAATCAGGCAAGAAACAAGCACCAGAATGAATGAAGTGTGGCCTCTCCAACACTGCTGTTGGTACTGGATTCATTGCAGCCACCGAATTCACAAACCGTCACATTATATAGTGTCCGGAGGTAGAAAACCACGCTTCAGGGTAAGTACACCAAGTCTGCCTGCCCTGGTCGGTGGCATAAGTGGGCTCACACGGTTGTTCAAATCTCCAGGCCATGTTCCTGCCTGGGCTGTGATGAGTTCATCTCCAACGCCCACAAGGACCAGGCAGGTAACTCAACTGCCTGAAATGAGCCCAGTTTAAGGGGCAGGGACTCCGGCAGGTGGGAAAATCCGTCTTGTCCAAAGGGAGCAGCAGAAGGAATGCAGGTGCGATCGTTTAAGAGGAACCAGAAATCTGGATTTCTATGCTTCTATGCGAACCCCTCCGATTTTTTTATAAACTGGCAATGAGTTGAGAAAACTTTTAGTCCTCACCTGTGGATATGTTTTATTGATTTTAGAAAGAGAGGAAGGGGGTGAGGGGGAGAGAGAAAAAAAAAACATCAATATGTGAGGGAAACATCAATTGGTTGCTTCCCATATGCACCCTGACTGGGGATTGAACCTGCAATCTTTTGGTGTACGGGACAATGCTCCAACCAACTGAGCCACCCAGCCAAGGCTGTACTGGCAATGAATTTTAAAAACTTAAGTGTCATGTTGGCTACTCTGTAACTGATTCATCCAGAGGTCACTCATTGACATCTTCTGGGTTGTGGCACGTCTGCTGTGTTTGTGCAGAAACGTGGAAGGCGTTGCAGGTTTTGAACATTACTGACCTCAGCATGTGTAAGAAGTGCAAATATTCAAGAATGCTGAGGGCACATTGTTACAACGGAAATGATTTAAAAACTTAAAAAGAGTGAGAAAATAATGTTACTGGGGATGACTACTTGGATAAGAAGATTGATACTAAATGGTTGACAAATCACACAAAATGTTGAAACAGCTTGACTTACGCAATGGTTATCTTCATTGTCATCATCGGCTAAAAATGGGGGGAAATATTTGGCATGGTAAATACTGGATGCCTAATGTTAATTCAGAAGAGAGCTAGGAATTTGTGTAATTAGCATATCATGGTGAATTGCTGCTTAAAGATGTTGCAAGGCATGAGTGATTCCATTAGCTCAAAGCCTGTTTTACCAAAGTTTGTGGGAGGTCCCAGTACAGAGTCATTCATCCATTCAACAAATATTTATTACCCAGTCTAGTACTAAGCAATCAAATAGATTTCTAAATACCTTTAGCCTCAGGCTGGTGCATGTGAAAAAATATAAACCCACATAGTTACTTATTGCTAATCAATTAATAGTCCATAAAGGAAAATTGGCAATAGAACCATCCAGCCTACATATTGAAAGAGGCTTAACAGTGAGGAAACTGAGATTCACAGAGCTCAGCCAGCTGGGGTTAGACCGTCCGGATTTAGTCCCAGGTCAGCTTTACACACTTTTTAAGTTGATGACACCAGTAACAATCCCAAGCTATTCTCTCAGATCTTCCTTTGGGAACTTAGGGTGGAGCCATCCCAGTGACTGCGTGAGGACAGTTCTTCTACACACTATACATCATGATCACACACTCAGGAAACACATCCGTTCTTTTTAAACCCACGCTGTAGACCAACCACTGCACAGGGCAGTTTGCTGTTTCGGGAGAAGGGTCCCCCATTCCCTGTGACTGGGGCTCGGCAACTTCCCTTCCCTGCAGACCCCCTCAGAAAGCTGCCCCTTCTCTCTTCCCAGGGAGAAAGGTACCTGTTGAGCTTGATGTGCAGTTTCTAAAGGGCGGAGATGATTTGGGGACGGTCTGGAGGTCAAACAGGAGGAAAAGTCCTCGCTTCCATTTCAGCCAGAACCACCTCCTCCCCCCTCTCCCCCCGCGGTTCCTTCATCCTCCAGCCAGAAAACATTGGGAACTCATAAGGAGAATTTTAACCTCTTAAAAGCCACACCTCCTCTCCTCTAGGAAATCTTAGCGCATTCGATGCTCCAGTACTTCTACACCTTACAGAAAACATTTCTCTGTGAAAATGACTTTCTTCCCATTGAAAATAAGCACACATAAGGGACATCCATGTACAAAGAAACACCCAGGACTGGGTCTAGCCCCCAGTGAGGGTCTAAAACTCACCGCTGCTCTCCTTCACCGCAGCTTGTCTCGGACGCTCCAAGCACAGGATTAGCAAAACCGGCCCTTCTGGTTCCTAAGGAAATACTTTCCACTGAGCCCGTGGTGGCCAGCTGGGTTTGTCCCGCCCTTGGTTCCACTTTGAATCTATTGATTCAGCTCCTCGCTGATCAGGGACACCTCCCTCTTACCTTCAAGAGAGATGTGAAGAAGCTCACAGCCGTACACTAAAAATAACCACAGCGCCGGTATGCCAAACAAGGTGCTTTTTCTCCTCCCAAGTAGGATCGCCTGGGTGGAGGGATACGCCAGGTCACAAATCCTCTGGAACCAATCCTTTCCAGTGCTCTGGAGTCTGGGCTGGGAAGTGGTAGAAGCAGGAAAGAAGGGAATGTACCTGTTTTCTTAGCCTTTGCTGAAAGAAGATGTGGCTACAGACGTCTCCTTATGGGGCTGATTCTGGGTGGGTTGGGAGGTGATGGGGTTTATGGTGTCCCTGGGCCCAAGGAAGGCACCCCACCTGCAACAGCCTGCTAGGGCCCCGTGGTTCAGGCAGGGCAAGGTACCATCCAACGAGATACAGGGGCACAGGTGAAGTCTCCCCATCTTTGGTGGTTGGCATGCAAATTCCTTGTAAGTTTGCAGAATCTCTTCTTTGAAGCAAGTCTTGAGCAGAACCATATTAATACGCAAGACAGGTAAAAGTGTACCTGCTCTGCTTGGAATTGCAGTGGAGGGAAGAATGCAGCCCCATATCCTGTCTTCCCCAGGGCTCCTGAAAGAGTTAGACACCACAGCCTCTCCCCTTGGAGGGTGCTCCTTCCCCTAGAATAGGTGGCAGAGTGAACACAGGTGTCTTCTCCCCTCAGGAAGACGCACCTGGGACAGGTGGAGGAGAGAAGCAGTGGCTTGACACTTAATGCATTTCAACCCTGACACGATACCTGACGTCAAAACACACAGGTGGGGGGACTGAGGTGGTTGTAGATCTGGAAGGACTGTCAGAGGCACGCGAACCTCACTGTGTGATACTGAGATGTAAGTTGAGGTTTTATTTGTCCCATTGCGATAGAAGAAGTGCAAGTTCCTCACCAAAGAGGGGAACGGAACGCACTGTTTCCTGTCCCAGTGATCTGAGCTCCTCCCTACTCTCAGTCCCCACAGCGTTTTAGCTTCACTTAAGGATAAAACATGTAGCTAATCAGGACGGTGGGCATAAAGCAGAACAATAGGTTTGAAGAGCAGATCCACCGTATTTGCTGTTTAAACCACGTCAGTACAAAGTGTCTCTGCTCACCTATGGCTCTGTATAATACAGGTCATTTCGAAGGACTGAACAGAAGGCATGCAGTTCGTACATCCTAAGCGCATGACACGTGTCCCTCATGAATTCAGGACTAAATCCTAGCCGGTCCCAAGGACTCAGCAGATGACTCTCCCAAAGTCTGGTGTGTACCTGAGAAAGATGATGTGGTTTTGGAATACCTGTCCCTCCAGCCAGGCAAAGGAGGGTCCATCGTCCACCTCTGCGCGGCTCACCAGCTGCCTCAAGGGTGCTGAGAACAAGACAGCTTCCACCCTTGAGTGGCTGGTCCAAACGTATCATGGATTCAGTCCAGCTCAGGCAATGCTAACAGCAGCTCACAAGCTTGACGCATGTGAAGGACAAGTCAAGGTCCCCTTACCTACATCGCTGTACTTGGACTCTTTCAGGCACCAGCTGTCTCACAGGTTGTCTGCAGCCCAGCACATGTAAGGACCAGATGCAGAAGGTAGAAACCTGCCCAGATGGAAGGAACACAGCCCTGGTTTCAGAACCTGAGAGCAGCAGACTAGGTTCTCCAACGTACCGGCGTCATCAGCCAAGTGGGATACTTCATGGATAAGTGCCCAGGATGCACCCTCCAGCCCTCCAAATCAAGCACTTTGGTTTGAAGGTCAACTACAATCACATAAAGCAGGACAATGCAGACAGGCAACCTAGGTTAGCTGTTCTCTAACAACTAGCAGCTAATGAAAACTTGCTCTCTGCCTGGCACAAACTAAGTCTGAGATGCAGATGATCTCTTTCGGTCCTCACAGTACCCGAGTTAGGTCCCATTCTACCCAGTCATACAGGTGAGAAAACCATAGGGGCTTACGGAGGTTGAGCAGGTGGTCCAAGGGCCCAGAGCTAACAAGTGGCTGGGAAGGACCTGAAGACGGCCAAGCTGCACTGTGCCGTGCTGCCTTTGATTGACGTTGGATGCAGATGCTAGAATTTTCAGTGAGCATGAGCATTGTGGAGTGAGATAAAGTATAAAATCGACACTTAGCACAGCGCCTTCCAGCACTGACAGTTCTTCACTCACAGTCAACCCCACATTAAGGAAACAAGTATTTCTACCTTTTCTTTTTGGCGGATGCAATCACACAATACACTAAGATATCTAGTGTCAGTTGGGTGCAGAATAAAAGTCTAGTAAGATTGCTGAAGCTAAGGAAATATAAAGCTGTTCCTGAGTATTTGGGGTAATGTGAATAGGCAACACTAGTCTAGTAAAGGAACATGAGAAAACATTAACATTGTAAAAAAAAAAAAACCTCAACAGTTATAATTCTAAATAAGAAAAGCTTTTGAAAATGATTTAGAATTTCACTCCAATGTCTAAAATTATAAAACCTCAAATAGATCTTTGTAAGTTTTAATAGTTTAAAGTTTAGTGCCTAGCTAAGTACCTTACACATAGATGGTCTGCAATAAAATCTTTCTAGAATGAGGGACTGAACTCATGAGTATGCTTTTAAAAGCAGATAGAAATTTGCCCTTCTATTATGTTTGGAAGTTTGGGTTTTTTTTTTTAAATTTATGACGCAGGTTGTGTGACATTTCCTTAACAGTAAGGATTTCTTTTGAAAAGGAATCCCAGGATCATTCTCTAGTTCAAACAAAGCAAAGGAAATAACTATCATCTTGAAAGACAAAAAGAAATAACTAAATAACTGGCAAAAATAATTAAGAACAGAAACAAAACTTTTGTCTTTGCAGTGAGGTATGAGAGTTAAAAAGAAAAGCAGCGTCAAATTATACTTTATATAACTTTTAAGGAAATATAAAATTGGTCCTCATGCAGCACAATGAAACACACAAAATAAAAGCACACATTTTCATTTTCCTGCTGGTGAAAAATGAAGACACATAATTAAACAATCAGATACAGTCAGACCAAGAAAAGAGCTCTCTCTCAAAACCATTTAGTGTCCTGGATTATCATGAGGACTCAAAAGTTTATCCAGTGTACAGTCAAAAAGAACTACTCATTCAAAAAAAAGAACTTCTAAAAACTAATATAAGCATCAAAACACAAACTGCTCCAGCTATTTCCATAACAGACAATGTAGAAGAAATCTACACTGACTATACTACTTAGTAAATCTGTTCTGTTTTAAAACAAACAAACAAGCAAGCAAGCAAACCAACAGGAGGAGTTCTACATGGAAGACAGTGAAGATGTCTAGCAACAATTTCTACACCGTTCCAAAAGAGCTGTGTCCTTTCTCTGGCAGCGAATCTGAGATGCCCCAGTTACTCCCCATTATTCAGGAAAAGCCAGAGCATTAGTTTCAGGGTGCCCCAGGCTGCTGTTGCATGAGGCTTTTGTCTCATTTTAGCCACAGAGTACAAACAAAAACACAGACCCTATATCCTCAGCCTTGTTACCCTGGCCTCCTTAATACAAGCTGCTAAAGATTGAAAGTGTTGTGGTTCAGTTTGATAAAACTAATTATATGGTTCTGCCAAACTGCAAAGCTAATGGGACAAACAAATGGGCTATAATGTGCATTGGGTAAAGTACACCCTTGAAATCAAAGAGAGAGCTATATTATTTAAAGAGACAAGTTTTTTAAGGGGAAAAGGACCTTGAGGTAGTAATATTTTCAAAAGTAATAACAATAAACTACTTTAAAATAATAAAGCAACCCATATGGAATGGGATCTGTGCATTCCAAATCCAGTCTTCATTAGGACATCATTTCCATAGATGAAGCATGTTGTCTTAGAATAACTGACACACACATACAAAACACACCAAGCCATGGATTTGCATAATAGCTGTCTCATTGGTCTGATAGAAGTAATAAGTAGTAGAAGACAAAATATCCACACCTCAGGACATTATATATTAAATGGCCCTAGGTTGTGCCTGGTACTTGCTAGAGGACATCTAAAGGGAATAAAGCCTGTTGCCCGATTCCATGTGTGACAAAGCATTTTAAAAGAACAAGAATGGCTAAGCCCTGATTTCTGACTCTGCAATATTAAACATAAGTTTTAAAGGCCAACCATCGATCAGTAAGACTGAATCCCAGTAGTTCTTTCTAATAAACAGTAGTTCTGTTCATAACGAAGGGCATAGACACCTGACTCAATTTACACATTGCAACATACACGTTTTCCTGCTTAAAAATATAAACATTTCTCACACTCCCAAAATATGCATTACAAATATTACTTGAGGCAAAACCTAGCCATGAGACTTACCTATTGTCAGCCTTTTTGTCTGTCTGAGAAGCTAATTGAGCTCTGAAGTAAATGCAGGCAAAGCGGAACTGATCCAGAACATGAGGGGGCAGTGGGATGGGAACTGTGGCAGTACAAGGGACTCACACGCTAAAGGAGAATAATGCGTGTAATACTTCCCAGAGTCCAATGAAATACTTTTTCACTTCATTGACTGTTTTAAAATATACGCATGCTCTTAAGGAGAAAAAGGAAGGCTTGGTTAGGGAGTGAATTTTGAAAGATCCCAAAATCTCTACAGAAGTCTCTCCTCTTCCAACACCTGTTTCTAAAGTCTCCACACTTATACTTTAAAAAAAAAAAAAAAGGACTGGAAGGAAGCTCCATCTACTTTACTTTCTGAGTCGGGTACATACATACCTAGTTAGTTCTTTCAAGCGCTTTCTCTCGCTAGTCTACAGAGAAACATACACAGCCATGCAACACACACGATGTATTGATCACTGTACCCGCACGTGGCACAGGTTCATCAACACCATAACAGAGGAGACAAGTCACAAAATAGATGACTAGGACAGTGAGAAATGGGTTTCTTTTCAAGTCCCGCTCTGATCCTTAATTCCCCTCTTCCTACACAATTCCTTTTCATCCAAGAACTTTAAAAGGGTCAGAACGACAAAACAGTTTGAATTAAAGGAAGAGCAAGAAAACATAATGTTGGATTTTCCAGGGACACTGCCAAATCAGCAACCAGACCAGCCACATGCAATTGCCCCAATGAAAAATGCAGGCTCAGATTCTGGGTACCCGAATTACATATGGTGTAATCGAGAAAAGTAAATAAGGAACAGTGGTCACTGTCATTAAGAATAAAATAGTAATAACGATTGTCACCACGGGGTTCCGTACAGCAGCTGTATGTGGAGCCGGCTTGTCCTCCAGTTCCCACCGCCCGCAGCCTCTACCGCCCGCAGCCTCCACCTCCTGCAACCTCCACTACCCGCTGCCTCCCTGGCAGCCCCACTTCTGCGCTGAGCACAGTGCTTTGGGGCGGGGCGACTCGCTGGACCCCGCCGCACGCGCGCCGCGCCCACCCCGCCCCGAGGCCCCCTGGGCCCGCCCCCCTCTCCAGCGCCTGCGCCCCTGCGGGCAGAGTACGTGTATCGGCTTCCGGCTACGGGCGCCCAGCGCCCTGGCTTCCGACTGCACCCTGCCGGTGACGGGTGTCTGGGTGCGCTCTTCTGGGCGGACCCGCGACCTCACTTGACCAGTATCTTGCTGACTAAATAACTCGGGAAAGGAGCGAGATAGAAGGGAGTACGTTTTGAGGAGCACTTGACTGCCCCGAAGGATAGCTAAGGAGTCCCATGTTTCCAAGCACCTCTGCAGACAACAAGCAGGAAAAAAACCCCGACCTCCTGGGGGACCCACTGGCAGGGGGCGCACTGTGAGCGCTGCCGGGCGCAGTCACCTTTTGGGGGATGAAACGGCCGCTGTTTGCAGCTCCCTCCCACGCGTTTCCTTCCAGACCGTCAACATATCGTCGCAGTAGGCACTTAGATGTTGCCCTGAAAACTAAGCGCACGTTCTTGGGGGCTGTCTTCTGGCATCATTTCTAGACAGTACTAACTGGAACAGACGTCCTGGAAAAGTCTCATTACACCAAAGACTGTATCTTATGTTTCGATTGGATAGTTATGGCCTAACGAGAGGGGTTGAAATTTTAAATAAGTCATTGTTACGGAAAGAAAACAACTTGGATATTAGATACTGTGGGTCTTCAGGGGCTGTCATGCGGGGGGGGGGGGGACTTTCTCATCTTTTGACTAAAAGCTTTTTTCCAAATTTATAAACTGATAAGGTTTTGGACATAGGAAAAAAAAACCCACGATTATCCTTTCTACTGTCCTGTATTTTACTGGGCAAGAAGAGCACTGGAAGATTGAACTTGTTTGCTAACAAGGGAAATTTTAGAATTATTGGTATATATTTTAAAATTCTGTATTCATTATCAATCTACATTTTTTACCTAGATTCTCTATAGAAGTTTTAAAAACTTACATTCTTACCCTCTTTTTCTTCTTATAGGAATTCTGCTTGGTTTCAGCATCGTATTAACACGGAATGATTTTCATTAAGATGTAATCTAGATTCGAATGAATTAGTTTTCAGCCACAATTCGAACGCATTCAAAAGCTTTTCAAGTCTTAATAGTTGTGAGAAACAACTTACAGTTAATAAAGATGCAAAACCACCCGCAACTACTTCTTCTTCGAAGACCTTTACCTCCAAAGCTCCCTAAATTGCCTGTAGATAAGAAAGTCCGTCCGGGTATGTATGTCAATCAGCAACGTCGTTAACTACTTTTCCTAGAAAGTTCTCAACCTGCCCAACTCAGAATCACAGCAGTTAAAGACACGAGTAAGCAGCCCCTGCCAAATGCTTGTTGTAAGTTGATAGCATCTGATTTAATGCTACAAGTACAGGCGATTCTCATTATCTGTGGGCTCCGTAGATACGAACTTTCCTAACTGCTAACACTGATTTGTAACCTTCGGATCAGTACCGTTCTGCACTTTGTCTTTTTAACCCAACGAGATGCCACGAAGAGAGCAATGCAGGGCAGCACAGAGAACTTTTCTCACTTCTTTGACCTTAGGTGTGACTGCGTGCAGGAGAGGGGTGCAGGGGTGTGTATGCGGTTCCTCCCAGTCATTGCCTATGTGCTCCGAGCGCGAGAACACGTGTTCCCAGCTCAGGTGGGACGGGCTGGGATCCGCCTCCTCATTCCTGCTCTCCTACTGAGAGCAACTGCCCTTTCTCCAGTCTATTTAGTGCCATGGTTTTTTAATCTGTGCTTTTTGTGGGTGATTTTGCTGCCTAAAATGGCCCCAAGCACAATGCTGAGGTGCTGTCTACTCTCCTGAAGCACAGGACGGCTGCAATATGCCTCGGAGAGAAACATCTGTGTGTTAGACAAGCTTGGAAGGCCTGAGTTGTAGTGTTGTTGGCCATGAGTTCAGTGGTAATGAACCAACAGTATGTGTTAAAGAAGGTGTCTTTAAAATAGAAATGCACGTAAAACAAGATTCTGTGCAGATTGGTTGTCAGTAATGTTGATACCCAAGGCTCAGCGTTGGATAGCTCAGTGTTGGATAGCTCAGTGTTCACTTGGCACTTTATAGAACAGACTGGCCGCAGATAACATGGACTATTTCTGAGCACAGGGCTAAGACTGAGGAGACAGTGGGCAGAACAGTCGCGGCCAGTCCTCCTCACTGGTTCCCCTCCGGGGGGATCAGGCAACCATATGTGTAACTGTAAAATTGCCCTGTGATAAATGCTATAAGTAAATCATGGGCTGCTTTAAAAAAAAAGATTTTATTTATTTAGTTAGAGAGAGGAGAAGGGAGGGAGAAAGAGAGGGAGAGAAACATCAGTGTGTGGTTGCCTCTCACATGGCCCACACTGGGAACCTGGCCTGCAACCCAGGCCTGTGCCCTGACTGGGAATTGAACTGGTGCCCTTTTGGTTCACAGCCCGAGCTCAATCCTCTGAGCTACAGCAGCCAGGGCAAATGTGGGCCACTTATATAACTGCCACTGCACAGAATACCCTGAACCCCCTTATCCCATCTATGGTATCTGTGGACTCCTTGCTTACAAGCAATGACAAAATTAGCATGTAGCTTCTTTCCCATTTTTGGGTTCCTCCGATACCCGATTTTCACTGATTGTATTAATTATTTTAGTGTTGACATTTACATTGTTAACATATGCCTAGTCTCTAACTTGATTTACAATGTTAACTTATTATCTTCTGATCCATGGCTACTAAAGGTGTTTAAACCAACATCTTTAATATAATACTTATTTTATACTAACTTACCCTATACTAACTACCACAAATTTTCTCTCCCACTTTCCCTACTAACTCTTGTTATGTCATTACTACATTTCTACACTTTTCTCCATTTACAAAATATTCCGTAAGAGTAATACCCACCGTTATGTAAATTTACTGCTCACTACCGATTTGGTTCTTTCGTTGTAGTTTTTCCTTTCATCTTTTGATTGAAGTTTATTCTCCAGTACTGAATTTCTCAGTATTGCCATTTTGGGCAGGATAACTTTTGGGGGAGAGGGGATCTTCTGCTTTCGGTAGCTTGGAGATCCTATGACCTTGACTATTGGTGATCCTGTGTCTCCAAAGGCTCTTGGCAGAGTGCTTTGGATGTAGCAAGTGTTCCAAATATCTGTCGAACACTTAAAACGACTGAAAGGCAGTTTATAAAAATGAATATTTAAACACAAGTAAAACTCTGACATAAATATCCACAATTTGCATACAGTGCAAAATGTCATAGGGAATTGGGGACAAAGATGATCTGGTCCCTGCCTGTTAGGACCTTTCAAGACCCTTAACTAGCCTTTAAAGGTGAGATGCACATAAAATGAGAACCTTAAATAGAGTACAGATCAGCATAAAATGCATGTCCAGTTAATAGTGCGGGTGGTAGTAGTTCACAGATGTGAAAAAGTGTGGGGGCAAGAATGGAACTTGGCCTAAGACTTGAAGAATTAGTAAAAGTGGAATGAAATATGTTTATTTATAGAAGAGACCCATGTTGTTTCTGGTGGCAAGGAGGAGTCTATTGGAAAAGTAGAAATTCAATATATCAGAAAAAAAGAAAAGAAAAATCATGGGGACCTGTGTCCCAACCCACCCTCCCCCCAAAAAAAGGAGATACAGAATTGAGATGACATATCATCCTCATTGGGAAGATTTCCCTAAGTACCTCTCTCCTCACCTAGTCAGAGTGCCTTCATTTATGCTTCCATAGTATCCCATAGTTATCCCTGCTGGACACTTATCATTCTCCAGTGTAACTGTTTACTGCCTAGTTTTTGTACTTCGTCGTGAGGTCTTTGATCGTGGTAAGGGTAGCTCTGTGTCACTGTAGCCTCAGCACTGTGTGTACAACTGGCACATGGTAGGTGTTGCATGGTTGTTGAATTAATTAACAAGAACGGTAAGTGTGGGTTGCATTAATCAAGCATGATTGATTGCATAAGGTTTAAGGTAAACTTTGAAAGAAAAGAATGATTTCAAGTAGTTAGTAAGAAAAGGTGTTCCACACAGTTTGATCACAATAGGAGACGAAGTTATCAATGAGCCATATCAGTGGTAACGAGAGTAGGTGAGCCCTCGCGTTGCAAAGTAGTGGCTCATCACACAGCGAGGCTAAGAGAAATGGATCCAGCTCTCACAGATTTGTTTTTAACCAAACTAATACATCTGAATTGTCGTTAATAAGATTCAGCTAATTTGAAGAGAACACTCTGAAGCTAGATCAGAAAGTCAAGGGGAAAGTTCCGTTGACGAAGACTAGGATGATGGCAATGAGAATCGGAAGGGAAAATCTGGGGTTTTGACCACTTAACTGTGAGAGAAGGTTAACGTGCAATAAATAGCTCGAGTGAAAGCACTTTATCAACCATAAAACTGCTCAGTAGCTGTAACTGTTACGAGGTTTGGAGTACTTGGCCCACAATTACTGACCGGCAGCCACCCGGCATACTGCCAGATGCCCTCGAACGGGTGTCCAGGGGTATCGGTTTTGGTCTCAGCTCCAACACTGTTGCAGCCTACGGCTTTAGCAAGTCGTTTGGCCAGTGGACCTTATCTTTCTTTCCTGAAACAGCAGCACTTCATTAGATCATTGATGTCCAATCCTCGTCTTTACTCTAAACCACAGGATGGTGGGGAGTGACCAACACGTGATGTTCTTCCACCTCGTGCTCTGAACTTCTGTCCTCAGAGTCCTAGATTCTGGCTCCTCAGTAGGTGGAGGAGTTAGGAGTGACAAAGAGCCCAAGAGTTTAGGGATAAGGTGATGATCAGGTAACAATCTCTGCATCCTCCCGAAACACCAGGAAACAGGCCAAGGAATTTCAAGGATGCTCTTGCCTTCTTCCTGTCTGGACACAACACTGGGTGAGCCAATACATTTTGCTACTCTGTAGATATCAGTAGGAGAGGTGGGTAGGGGTCTGGTGAGATGTTATTATGTCCTGGTGGCATATACTCCTGTTCTCTAGTAATGGTTTCCTGCAAATTCCCCCTCACTTAGGTTGCGGTGGGGGGAAGTTAGCTTCCTCCACCCACCACGGGGAAGGAAAGATTGGGGAAGCACAGCATTCCAATAGCGTCAATCAGGAAAAATCCTCTCCCTGAACCAGATCAATCTCTAGCCACCTCTTGTGTGTAGACAGCAGGTAGGTGAGTTACACTTATTTGGCCATCTCTTCGCAAGTCTTGTCTTCCAGAATCTGTTACCTCCTCATCAGCATATAGAGGTCCCCATCATTTATTGTAGTCAGATGAGACAAGACAACAGAAAACAACTGTCATTTAACATTCTGTCACATAGGAAAGAAAACGTACTTGAGATACAGTGATGTACCTAAGAATGTAGGCACGGTGCATTTTCTGGACCTAAGAGAAAACAGTGCTAACTGCTGTGACCTCAGTGAACTTGTGGTACCTTGTAGTCAGTGTCAGAATGTTACCATGTTCAAAAGACACAGCTGTCTTGACATCTGGCATTGAGAAGAAAGATAATCCTTGCTCAAGTAGTATCAAATAAGGAAGAGACGATGATAAATAGCAACCATTCATCAAAATCATTTTCCCCCATCCATACTGCCAGAGTTTTAGTGGGAACTGTTCAAAAATCTCTTTTATAATCTACTCTTCTTGCCATCAATTCCATTTTTCCAAGAGTAGGTTCTCTACCTTCGTAAATCTAATACAGGTTCGCCTCTTCACTTCTCCAGGTATTTGTCCAAACTTAATAAAAGTTCTCACAGCTGAGTAAGCAAATACAGAAATATTTCAGAAGGTGAGGGGGTGAGTGAATAAAGAAAAGCTATGAATGGTAAGACATTATAGTTCTGTTCCTGACCTCTTGATAAATTTAATCTAATTGTGCTATTTTATTCTTTTTCTGGTTTAGCCACGACTGATAAAACTGAGATACCACTGGCAAAGTTTACTCAAGGTGAAAGAGATAAAACTAGTTTTCCTGATACTGTCTCAAGAGAGCCATTTCAAACCTCCATCGGTGTCCAGAATCTCTCTTTGGATGATCGTGTACAGAAAAGAGCGACTCCTGTCCCAGGACCCCCCAAACCGAAGCTCGATCGTTGGCGCGTTCCAGACACGGCCACTGGTTGTGTGTTTTTCCCGAGTTGTCCATCAGCTTCCACTCGAGTTTTTGGGAAGAGAGCCAAGCAGTGGAAAAGATCAAGGAAACCAAAAGGAGAGCCATCAAAAATAAAAAAGACTTCTGTCGACGACATGCTAAAAGACATCCTGATTTTCTCCTCCACGTTCTCCAAACCTATCATTGCCCCTCCCCCAGTCACCCCCACCACACCCGAGGACATCCGCCTCATGGAGTTACCTGTGGCAAAGAGCAGGGCCTACACTTTTAAGCACCCTCTCATAGATATGAGTGTGATACGGCCAATCCCTCTCCCAAGAATTATGCCTGTGCAAGCACAAAGCCGGTGGTTTGGTCATTTACAACCAAGTACGGCGGTGCTACTGGATATTACTCATTTTCCTGGTGTTCTTTCCATACCGCCACCAGTTTTACCGAGAAAACCTCGAAGACAGTCTGAAATAGGTATATGCCACGGTCTGTGATAACAGGGTCGAGCAGAGCCAAGGGAAGGGAGAAGTGGGCAAGCAAGGGGCGTCCCCCTTAAGTCTGCTGAGTGGGGTGGTGAAGGGGCTCTTAGCCTGTAGATTTAACACCTGGGCCAGTGCAGGACGAAAGTTCTGACCTTGCAGGTCTGCTAGGGCCCAGCTGGGCACTCCACCCACGTGGTGGCGGTGGGCGCCAGAAAAAGGAGTTGAGAGGACCAGAGAACCTAATATCTATATTAGAGTGAGCAGTGAGAAAGAACAATCGTTCGTAAGGTAAGCTGGATGAAGTCTAGAATGTTCATTCTAATACATGTCTCTATGGGCAAATTATGTGGATGATTCCAATTCATTAAAAGGTGAACAATGATAAGGAAACCATAAGAACCTCCATGTGAACTTTCACAAGTGTCCAAAGGTTGTCCCGTTTCTTCTTCTTTTTTTTCCCCTAGAAACTCGGAGAATAGAAGCTGAAAATCTGTTCACAGAAGATGTTCAAAGCTCGCTAGTCCTGCATGAAGGTAAATGCTAGGCTTATGCCATTCTTATAAAAAGCTGTATGTAAGACGATCTCTCTCTAAAAGTATTCACGGTTGTGTGTGTTTTTGTATATGTGTGTGTGATTCACACCATGTCTCACCTCGTTTTCAGTTCCTGGTGCCATTTACTCAGCAGCTGTGTTTTAAGTGTTGACTATAAACCAAACTTGGTACCGAGGCTGGGAACATAAAAGCTGTAGTGTTCTTCATCTGGGTGGGGCAGACAGACATGCCGTGGAGCAGCCCCTGTTTTGGCCTCAGCTACTTGGCAGAAAGAAATGAAAGTTTATTTGTTAAATATGCTTGGTTGTATATTGAAGACTTTTCTTGTTCCTAGAGGTAGGGCTGTAGTGGTATAACCAGCCCTCTTATCACCGCTGTTGAGTATCCTCCCAAAGTCTGATGTGTCCTATTCTCACTCTCATCTGTCTTTATGTATCTTCTTCATCTTTTCTTAAATTTCTCCTTTGACCCAGTCGTTATTTAGTAGTGTATTGTTTTATCTACACTTATTTGTGGGTTTTACCCCCACCCCTTTTATTTTTGTTTCCATTTGATTTCCAATTTCAAAGCATTATGCTCAGAGGTCATGCCAAAGCAATATGCTTGCTATGATTTGCATCTTCTTAAATATGTCGAGGTTGGATTCGTGGTCAGCATATCGTCTGTGTCCTTGAGAACGTCCTTGTGACCTAGAAGAAAGAGTACGCCCTGGTGTTCCGGGCTGAACAGCTCTGTGATGTCGATCTTGCCCTTCAGGTCTCATGTGTCACGTGAGAGCCACATTTCCTCGTTGACTTTCCTGTTCGGATGGTCTGCGTATGGGCCCCCACTACGACTGTGTTTCTGTTAGTTTCTCCCTTCAGTTCCGTTAGGTGCTTTATACATTTCGGGCCCCCATGTTGGGTGCATGTGATATGGAAGTGTTATTTCTTCTTGAGGTAGTGTCTCCTGTATCATCACAAAATGTCCATCTTTCTCTCTCGTGACCTTTGTTATCTTGAAGTCTCTTTCGTCAGATATAAATACGGCCACACCTGCAATTCTCTGGATGCTGTTTTCTGGGAGTGTCGTCCCCCACCCCGTCCCCGTCACTTTGTTCTGCGTGTGTCTTTGGAGCTGAGATGTGTCTCCCGAAGGGGCATAGAGCTGGGTTTCGTCCCGCGACTCGGCCCACCACTCTGTGCCTTGGCTGGTTCTGCCCGTGCACCAGGGTTTCCGTTTCATCCTTGTTTTCTGGCACTGCTCTGTCTTCACTGTTTCTTCCCCTGGAGTTTGTTTGTTTCAGTTGGTGGTCTTCGGTGACGTGTCCTCTCTTTCCTCTTTTGTTAGGTTGTGTGTTTTTGTTTTAGATTTTTCGGTGGTTATCACTGAGCTTATGTGAAAGAAAGCTTCATGTACACCGCGGTCCCTGTTCTCCGATTCACCCATGTAAAATCCGTTTTTACTGCCTCCTCTGTTAGGCCTTTGTGGCCACAAATGATCTCTTTTCATGCTGTGAGTTCATTTCTAAATTGTAGTCACTACGGTCTTCTCTTTTTAAAAATGTTCTTACCTCCTTTAACTTATATTGAAGTGTGTGACCCCTATTCTGAACAAGAGGTGTAATTTCCTGCTCTATCTGTTAGTCGTCTTGCTCACAGTTTTGTATCTTTCTGTCTTTTTGTTACAGACAGACAACACCCTTCAGTATTACCTTGTAACCGGGCTCTTCTCGGAGGAAACTCCCTCCGCTGCTATGTGTCTGTAAATGTCCACGTCCCCGTCACGCCTGAAGGGTAACTCGGCTGGATGTATTCTCCTGGCCAGTTATTTCTCTCTTTCGATCATTTCAATGCTTGATTCTACTCTCTCCTAGTGGCAGGGTTTCCGCTGAAAAATCTGATGACGGTCTGATGAGAGTCCCTTCGCAGGTCACCCTCTACTTTTTCCCAGCTGCTCCTGTGCTCCCGCGCCAGCCCGGGCTGTTTCTGATGGAAAGCGAAGTGCGCAGGAACACAATGAAGTCAATTTAGGTGATCTCGGTTTGGCTCAGTCCTGACTCGCTTGGTTCCCTTCTTTTTTCATTTCTGGTGTGGAAGTCTCGAAAGTGAGAGAAGAGCTGAATTACATTAGGCATTGGGATCGTGCATCTAGGTAATGTTAGGAAAAGGCTGAGGTTGTTCCTTGGGAGGTAATTTCTATCTCGAGTTACACTTACATGATGTCCTTTATTAGTTTTGTGAAGCAAGAAGTTGTTTATGTAATTCATAGTAAAAGATTTTAAAATGTTTTTATATATTGTATATAAAGACTGAGATTAATGGCGTCCAAATTACTGAGGCAGAAATACATGAGCACATGGTTTTCTTCGTGAAAGACGGTTGTGCTGTATCACATTTAAAAGAACAGCAACAGCAACAGCACCCGCTTTGGCAACACAACCACCAGAGACGGGGTGGGGGAGGTTATGGGGAGTCTCCTCCAGAGTGTGGGTACAGGTGAGCGACTTATCGTGACCACTGTTGTCACAAGTCCCTTTCGCGTCTCACTCTAAGTGATGACACTGCTTTCACGCAGTTTCATTTCTGCAGGTCTCACTAAATCTAGAAGACCAAACGAAGCAGAGACCCAAGTTAAGCGCCGGGAGGTCCATAAGACTGTGGTAACAACACAGTATGACACCATACAAGCCATGACCAACCTGGCTGTGGTCAACTGTCAGGTACATGGGAGGAATGCGCTGAACCTCCAGGTAGGACAGCTATTTAATGGTATGTTTTTTGTTGCATTGAAAATTACTTTTGCTTTTGGTTTTCTAACTTAGTTTAGTTTGCACAGTATTAAAGGGATCTTCCTGGTCGCACCAGCGATTTCCCAGGAACACATTCAAGTCGCATCTCTCACCCCACCTGTCCCAGTTCGCCTTCATCCCAGTTTTTAAAATGCTCATGTCCAAAGCAACTCTACTGGGTTGGCTGAAAATTGGGGTTTTTTTCCCCCATAAGATGGCTCTAGTAGTTCTTAGATGTCTTTAACTTCATTCAAAACAATTTCATTACATTGTATGTGACACCTGTAATAGCAATGTGCATTTTTTTAAAAAAAACAAAATTGCTGAATTTTTTAAAAGATTTTATTTTTAGAGAGAAAGGAAGGGAGAAAGAAAGGGAGAGAAACATCAGTGTGTGGTTGCCTCTTGTACGCCTCATACTGGGAACCTGGCCCTACAACCCAAGCATATGCCCTAGACTGAGAATTGAACCAGTGAACCTTTGGTTTGCAGGCTGGTATCGATCCACTGAGCTACACCAGCCAGGGCAAAATTGGTGATTCTTTTGTGTAGCCCTTTTAATATTGAAGATGGAAGAAAATACATAACATTTTCAACATATTACGCTTTATTATTTCAAGAAAAGTAAAAACACAACTGAAACAAAAAAGGCTTTGTGCAGTGGATAGAGAAGGTGCTATGACTGATCTAATGTGTGAAAAGTGGTTTGCGAAGTTTGCTGCTGGAGATTTCTCTCTCTTTCTTTTTTTTAAAGATTTTACTTATTTGTTTTTAGAGAGAGGGAAAGAGAAGGAGAAAAATATCAGTGTGTGGTTGCCTCTCGTGCATCCCCTGCTGGGAACTGGCCTGCAACCCAAGCATGTGCCCTGACTGGGAATGGAACTGTGGTTGTTTGGTTTGCAGGCCTGTGCTCAATCCACTGAGCTCCACCAGTCAGGCTGCTGCTGCAGATTTCTCACAGGATGATGCCCCATGGTCAGGCAGACCAGTTGAAGCTGATAGCGATGAAATCAAGACATTAATTGAGAGCAATCAATGTTCTGCCACGGGGAGATAACTGACATACTCAAAATATCCAAATGAATAAAGCTATCGGTGAAAATGAAAAATATGTTTTTTATCTTATGGAAAAAAATCACTTGGACTTTTTGGCCAACCCAGTAGTACTTGTTTCATTATCTCATATGATTTTTAAAAAGTGGGATTCAGAATCATCATTTTCTAAATTATCAAGAATCTTCAGGCCCTGGCTGGTGTAGCTCAGTGGATTGAGCGCGGGCCTGCGAACCAGACAATCGCGGTTCGATTCCCAGTCAGGGCACATGCCAGGGTTGCAGGCAGGTTCCCTGCAGGCCAGTTCCCAGCAGGGGATGCACGAAAGGCAACCATACATTGATGTTTCTCTCCCTCTCTCCTTCCCTTCCCCTCTAAAGATAAATAAATAAAATCTTTAAAAAAAAAAAAAGAATCTTCAGCCTTTGTGCCAATTCTGGCACAAGGCCAGCTTTTTACTGAACGCAAGTCCAGTATAAATAACAGTAAAATAGTTACCATTTATTAAGCACCAACTATGTGCAAAGCCAATGTTACCTTTAAAACTTAGGATTCAGCAAAAAGAAAGAAAGAAAGAAAGAAAGAGAAGAAGGAAAGAAAAGAGAGAGAGAGAGGAAAGAAAGAAAAAAGAAAGAAAGAAAGAAAGAAAGAAAGAAAGAAAGAAAGAAAGAAAGAAAGAAAGAAAGAAAGAAAGAAAGAAAGAAAGAAAGAAAGAAAAGAAAGAAAGAGAGGGAGAAAGAAAGAAAGAGAAAAATCTTATAATCCATCCAAGTAGATGCTGGAGTCTCCATTTTACAGATGAGAGCACTGAGGCCCAGTGAAAGTAATTTGCACAAGACCACACAGCGAGCAAGTGGCAGAACTGGGGTTTGAACCTAGAACCCCTTTGCCTGAAAGTCTGTAATCTTTTACATTAATTTTTATTTTGAAATCAGTTCAAGCCCATGACAAATTGCAGAAAAAGGAGAAGTTGCAGGGAGAATTCCTTTGGGAAACTGAAACATTCAAAAATGCCTGGGTGTACTGGGAATGTTGAAAGCCGTGTGCGTGTCCAGGGCGGGATGCGTGCTCAGAAAAGACCAAGAATACCTTAGCTTTTAGCTCTGTGGGTCTGCAGGTGCAGCTCGAGTGGGAAGCAGAGGCTAAAGCAGAGTTTTAAATGGCTTGGGCAAGCATTGAAGGGATGTTCTCACATAGAACCAACCTGAAAAAATCACTGATGGAAGTGTTGTTTTCTCTTTCTTGTGTTCAAAGAAATCTCTGTCCAAACATTAACTGAACACAAGCTAAAGGAGCAGAGATTGTAAAGAGAACACATAGAAAGGAATACAGACTTCGCAAAAGTCATTTAGAAACATCACTACACAAACCGTCAGCTGTAGCCCACAGCATGCAACAAAACCAAACCCTGAAAAGAGGAAAGAATTTGATTTTTAGAACTACCACACTGTAATATTCAAAATGCCCAGTTTTTAGCAAAATAAATATCAGGTAGGCAAAGAAGGATAAATATGGCTCATTCACAGAACAAATTCACAGGACAAAAACAGTCTGAGGAAGCACAGACATTGGACTTACTAGAGAAAGACTTCAAATCAACTTTGAAATATACTCACACTGATAAAGAAAATCACGAGCAAAAGGCAAATAAAAGTACTAGGAGACTGCTGTGTGATCAGAGATTATCAATAAAGAGATAAAAATTACAAAGAGGAACCACAAATAAATTCTGGAGCTGAAAAATGTAATTACTGAAATGAAAAATTTGCTGGAATGTTTAAATGGTAGATTTGACCAGCAAGAAGAAAGAATTAAAGAACTGGGAGATAAGCCAATTGAAATCGTCAAGTATGGTGAACTGAAAGAAAAAAAAGGGAGAATAGAGAGCAGAGCTTAAGAAATCTGCGAGACACCATCATCAGGTGCACCTACATACAGATGATGGAGTCCCCAAAAAAGAGGGGAGAGAGGAGAAGGAAGAGAGTCTTTGAAGAAATAATGACCCAAACTTCCCCAAATGTAATTAAAGAAATCTATGCATCCAAGAAGCTCATCCAACTTCAAGAAGGATCAATTCAAAGAGGTCTGACTAAGATATATTAAAATGAAACTGTCAAAAGCCAGGGAGGATCTTGAAAGCGGCCAGAGGGGAGTGATTTGTCATGTACAAGGAATCCTCCAATCAATAGCCGGTTTGTCATCAGAAGCCACAGAAGCCGGAATGGGATGGGGATGGCATTTTTGTAGTGAAGCAAAAGCAATCTGTCCACCAAGAACTTTACATCCCACAAAGCTCCCCTTTGAAGAGTAGTGAGAATTCAAGGTTTCCCCAGAAAAACAAAGGTTTAGTGAGTTTGTTATTCGTGTTGCTTTATATGAAATGCCAGAAAGAGCACTTTAGACATTAGATAGCAATTCAAAGCCTCAAGAAGTAAAGGACTCTGGTAAAGGTAGAAATGTGTGTGTGTCAATGTTATTCAATTATTAGCTGGCAAAACTTTTTATTTTCTATATTATTTAAAATACAAGCACATGAAATAACAATTATAAATTGATGTTAATGGACATTAATAATAGGAAGAAAGAATGCCTGCTTTTGTGTACTACCCACATAGTCATGAAACCAGTACCATTAATTCCAAGGTTTTTTAGCCATGAACCTCTTTATTCTTACGTAGTGTATATACCATAGCCTAACGTATTGGCAACAATATATCCCCTCACTGCAAGCTTAGGTCTGATCCTCCATCATTATCATTCCTCAGTTCATTCAGTTGTTTCCTTCTGATTCAACGGTCCTTAAGAAAACAGATGTTTTCCTGGAGCATTAAATATACTGGGGGCACCATTAAATTTTAGTCAATTCAGGCTAATACAACAGTATACCATATAGATCGAGTGGCTTAAACAACATTTATTAAAGTTATTGTGATGAGAAAGTTGAAGGTTGAAGTGTTAGCTAATCTGGCTCCTAGTGAAAGCTCTCTTGTTCATGTCTTTCTTCTTGCTGTACGGTCACCTAGCAGGGAGAGCGAGAGCGAGAGCGAGAGAGAGCAGGAGAATGCACGCATGCGCTCCAGTCCTCTCTTATTCAGTAAGGGCTCTGCCCTTTGTCAGGGCTCTACCGTGAAGGCCTCATCTAACCCTAATTATCTCCCAAAAGTCTCTCCTCTAAGAAACATCACATTGGGAGTTAGGGTTTCAACGTGTGGAGTTTGGAGGAACACAAACATTTAGTATATAACGAGACATAAGTTCTTGTCGTTCAGAAATTGGTGTATTTAAGCAAGAACTTTTATATAGATGTCAAAATAACAGAAAGAACCAATAGAAATGGTGGTGGCAATGTGGGCTCTCGGTTCCTAACTCTGTGCAGGAAAGATTTCACAACATGTGCCCAGGTGATTTGGAGAGTACTCTCGTTAATGCTGGGGACAGTGAAACAAAGTACTGGCTTAAGAAAGGTGAGGCAAGATTATAGCCACAGCAGTGAGCTTCAGTGTGGCTGCCCTGGCCCTTGGGAAGCAAGAGGAAGAGTCGAGTCTAGATGGGGCTGCCTTAGCCCCTTCAAAAGAGGGTCACAAAGCAGCAGAAGCAAGCCAGCTGGTCTGTGGAGCTCGGGAAACAAGTTACAGAGGAGTAAGAAGGGCCCTTGGAGACAGGTTTAGGGAGTCAGCGCAGGGTGAACTGTTCTCCTGGTTACCTTTAGAGCTTAGGAGAAGGAAAAGCAAAGACACACAGCAGAGGAAAGGAGCAGGGAGAGGTGGGAGCCTGCTCCAGAGACTGGGGTGGAGAGAGAGCAAGCAAGGGAGAGAGTATGAGCCCCTGTGCATGCACTGGGTCCTTTGCCTTAAGAGCTTTTATCTGTTTCTGAAAGGCAGGAATTTTAGGGGATCTCTCAGGGGAGGAACTCAATAGAATGAATATTCATCACCTTTTCAGGTGAGTCCTTTCAGGATCCTTGTCTCTCCTGGGTGGTGGTGGTGTGTGGGGGGGGTCACTAGTCATTGCTTAATGCTTCAGGGAATGTCCTTGCAAGGGAGGCAAGTCCGAGTGCTGGTGGAGGCCACCTTGCTCAGCCATCTGTCTCAATGTCCTCACTCTACTTGCCAGGGCATTTTCCTGGCTTCCTGCTGTCCTGCCTGAGAAGTAGAGACATGAAAAAACCCAGGGGGTGACAAACAAAACTAAATAGGAAGCACATTTAATTATTTATAGTCCAGCAGGCAGTGAGCACTCAGTAAAATGTTTGCCCGTTATTAACCGAAGTCCTGTCAGACACACGTCACCATACTGATTACACACAATAAACCCTAGTGTTTTAATCATTTACATATGTAAGGAATTATTACCCTGGCAGACTAAAGGGAATGAATGGAAGGTGAGTGTAGCCTTATCAGTGTATTATGTAACCACTGTCGCTCAGGATATGAGATTTTTAAACTTTGTATAAAATATTTTGTGTGTTGTTCATAACTTTTCTCCATTGTCACTTTCAGGGGTTTTTTATCCTGAATTGTCCAGACTTAACATGTTTGGCTTTGCAATTGGTATATCTTAACTTATCATTTAATGATATCAGTTCCTTTCCTACAGAGGTAAGTCCATTTTTATTACTCTATGTATGAGAATAATTTTATTATGAATAATAATTATAATACAAAATAGATACATGATACCCTGCAGTTACTATAAAGTAAATCTCTTCTGGATTGCATCCAAAAAGGCTTATTTTCAGAAGTACAAAGAGTACATCTTTCTTGGGAAGTCCCATGACATAATCCTCAAAGACTGTGTTACAGTCAGACACTCAAATATATAATTGCGTAATGTATATAAAATAATGTATGTATTCCCCTCACTGTGAATAAAACCTAAAATAAACATCTTTGTGTGTTTACATTCTAAATTGGAAGCTTTGGAAACAAAGTTTAGTGGCCAGGTAATGTGATGCTGTAACGGCTTTTAGTTATCATTGGTCAAAGCAGGGTATTCTGCATAATATTAACCCTTATCGAGAAGAATCGCATGTGGGGATGGACTAATTCATTGTCATTTTCAATAAATGGGTCATTATGAGTAATTAGGATGGTATATTTCCTGTGTCTTTCTGCAATTCTTCACTGGTCCCTGGGTGATCGGTTGTTTTGTGAATTGACTTCCAGAATATTGACTTTCAGTGAATTTATTTTTAGCTGATTGACTTCCTTTTTAATTTCAAAACTATAGTATTAGAAATGTATTTTCCGTAACTTCTCTGTAATATATTTTCACTTGAAGAGTTACTTTTTCTTTTCTAATATGTAACAATAATTTTGTAAATTTGACTAGGATAAATTGACCAGAATTCCCAAGGAATATAGGGGACTTTTTCCTTCATGTTAATTTTAACTTTTCTTCTGAATCACAGGGTGCAAACACAAGGCCCACAGGCCGAATCCAGCATCCACCTTGTTTTATATGGCTGGGCACCTGGCTTCTACCCGGTGGCAGCGCTGAGCTCCTTGCCCGAGCTCCTTGCCTCCAGCGCTGAGATCATTATTTCATGATTCTGGCGCATTTCTAAATTCTGAAATCAGCTCTGCACAAGTATTTAAGTATAAATAAGCAATACAAAAGAACAATAATGAATTTTCGGGTCTGTAACATGTGTGAGTGTAATACATACAACAATTATAGTGTGAAAAAAAGGAACAGGGAATAGAGTGGTTTAGGAACATTTCCATGTCTCACTGGAACTAGGTTGGTGTAAACCTGAAGTCAATTCTGATAAGTTAGGATGTATGTTATAACCCCTAAAAGAGCAACAAAAATAACTCAAGAAAATATGGTAAAACATCATTAAAGTAATTAAAATATTATACTAGCGAAAATATTCAGTTGATGTGAGTGAAGACAGTAAAGGAAGAGCAAATAGAATATGAGATATAGAAAACTATATGTAAAATGGTAATGTAAATCCATCCCATGAATAACAGTATTAAATGTGAATACATCAAATAATCCAAAGGTACAAATTTTCAGACTGAATGTAAATCAAGTTCTAATGACATACTGTCTATGGAAGATACACTTCAGATCAAAAAATACAAAGGGGTCAAAGGTGGAAGCATGGAAAAAGTTATGTCCTGCAAACAGCGACCATAGAGCTGTAGTGACTATACTGATATCAGACAAAATTGACATTAAAACAGAAAGATTGCTAGAGATAAAGAGGGACATTTTGTCAATCTATCAGAGGGGCGAGGGGAAGGAATTTCAGGGGAAAAGGGGAAGGATTCACAGGAACAAGTATAAAGGACACATGGACAAAAACTAAGGTGGGGGGAAATGGGAGGGAGGTGGGGAGCACTGCTGGGGGGGTGGGCTGGGATGGGAGTAAAATACAGAAAAGTGTACTTGAACAATAATTAAATTTAAAAAATGGAAAAAAATATATGTATATATATGCACACATTCATATACATATACATATACATATATCCCCAGAATATGAAAAACTCAAGTAATTGATGGGAGAAATTAGAATTTCAAGAATCATCATTATAAACCTCAGTATCCCACTCTTCATAACGCATAGAACAACTCAGCAGATCAGCGAAGAAACAGAGGACTTGAGCAGCGCCGTACGTCACTTAGACATCAGTGACACAGTGACATGTACAGAACACTTCGACCAATAGCAGCAGAACACATAATTCTCCAGTTTACATTTTCCAGGACAGACCATATGTTAGGCCACAAAGGAAATCTCAGTACACTTAAAACAACTGAGTACATTTTTGTACTCATAGAAAGTACATTTTTGGCCACAGTAGAATGTATTTAAACATTAATAACTAAAAGACATTTGGAAATATACATAAATTAAGCAAAACATTCTTAAATAACCAGTGATTCAATTAGGAAAACAAAGGGGGAACTAGAAAACACTTTAAGATGAGTAAAATAAAAAGACAACATACCAAAATGTATGGGATAAATATCTGTATTTAAAAAGAAAAGTCAATAGCCTAACCCTTCTATCTTAAGCCACTATTTTGAAAACAGCAAACTAAACCTAGAGAAAAAATAAAGGAGATAATTAAAGTTAGAACAGAAATTAGTGAAATTAAGAATAGAAAAACAATAGAGAAAAATGAACAAAGCCAAGAATTGACACTTTGAAAAATCAAGAGAATTTACTAAACTTACACAGACTGACCAAGGTAAAAGAAGACCCAAGTTACTAAAGTTAGGAATGAAGGAGGGGGCATTACTACCAACCCACAGAAATAAAAAAGAGTTTAAGAGAATACTACAAATCACTGTAAGCCAACCAACAAGATAACTTTGATGACATAAACACATACCTAGAATGAGAAAAGAATCAACTCAAGAAGAAATAGAAAATCTAAATGGCTCTATAAAAAGGAGAACATTCAATAGCAATTTTAAAACTTTCCACAAAGTAAAGTCCAGGACCAGATAGTTTCATTGGTGAAGTCTGCCAAACATCGCAAGAAGCATGAACACCAACCGTTTACAAACTCTTTCTCAAAAAATAGAAGAGAAAGACAAACTTCCCAATTCAAACTAGTAAACCAGTAACACACTGATACCAAAACTAAACAAAGCCATGGATAGAAAAGCAACTACAGAACAATATCTCATAAACATAGATGCAAAAACCCTCAACAAAATGCTAACAAAACAACACATAAGCAGGATTTTATGCCACGATCAAAATTATATTTATCTCAGAAATGCAAGGTTGGATAAACATGCAAAAATCACTCAATGCAATATACCATTTTAATAAAGGGGACAAGACTATACAGTTACCTCCATGGAGACTAAAAAAGTTTTACAAAAGTTAACATTCTTTCATGACCAAAACAGTCAACATCTAGGAATAGAAAGGGTTGTCCTCAACTTGACAAAGAGCATCCACCTACACCCACAGCTTATAGGGTATTTAATGGTGAAAGGCTTCAGTTTTTTCCCTAAGATCAGGAACTGCATGAAGATGTCTACTCTTGCCACTTTATATTCAACATTGTACTGGACTTTCTAGCCATGGCAGCAAGGCAAGAAAAAGAAATCAAAGGCGCCCAAATTGAAAAAGGAAGTTCAGCAATGTCTACTTGTAGATGACATGTCCTATGGATAGAAATCCTAAGGAATTCACTAAAATTATGTTACAGCTAAAGAATGAGCTCAGCAGTGTTGTAGTGTACAAGATCAATATACAAAAACCCAATTGTAGTTCTAAAAAATAACAGTAAACAATTCTGACCATAAGTTAAGAAAAATTTTATTTATATGAAAAAAATATTTAGGAGTAAGTTTAACAAAAGTGCAGAAGTTTTGCTGTGAAAACTACAGAACATTGTTAGAAATCAAAGGAAACATACTTAGATCCCAAAACATCTCACGTTCATGGCTCTGAAGACTTAATATTTTTACAATGGCAATACTCGCAAATTGACTTACAGATTCATTGCAATCCCTATGAAAATTACAACTTGCCTTTTTTATAGAATTTGACAAGCTGATAATAGGGTTCATAGGAAATGCTAGGGACTGCAAAGGACCCAAGCAAGCTTGAAAAGGAGAAACAGACCTGGAGGACTTCCACTTCTGATGGCAAGACGAGCGCCCTCTATTCCTCTGATTTTAGATCAGCTGACATGAGACCTCTCATGATTCACCAGAGAGCAACAAATATATTAATCGAACAGAGGTCATAGATTTAAATGGCGTATTTTATGTTTAAATTTTATGTGAAAAGTCAGTGTATATGAAATTGCTATGATAGGAGAATGAAACAAGTTGGCTAGGATATCGGACACCCCACCGACTACAAAGGTCAATTCCATTTATTTGTCTTGTTCTGGAGGTGTCCCCTCCCTCCCTCACTCTTTGCATATTTGTGTCTTATGAAACCACAGGTTGGTTGAACAGGATCAGTTTCCCATTTAGAAAAGGACCAATCTTGAGTCAAGAGTATATGAATACAGTAGTTTGCACTATTTTACATATCACACGCATCATGCTGGTCAGTCATTTTGACAGCTTTCCAAAGGTATTTGAGATGTGTGATACAGACAATTCATTGTTACTGTACTGATTCTGCTACACCGGGTCAAAGGGTTTATAAAATGTAACAAATAGAAATTTGCATAGTTTATGATTCTACTCATGTTTGTTTCTCTTTTCTGTTCCTCAGATATTTTGTCTGAAATATTTACAAATACTGATCCTGAGAAATAATCCTATCAAAGCAATCCCTTCTGAAATCCAACAACTTCAGTTCCTGAGAGTTTTCAACATTGCCTTTAATTTGATTTTGAATCTTCCACCTGGGTAAGGTTAATAGTTTGAAGTTACAAACATAGAAATAAAAAGCTTATGATTTAGGACAGGATCAACTCCCCCTTTGAAAGCCCCCAGCAACTTTTTCGCTATTTAATAATTCTCATTCTTTTTCAAGTAGCTGACCTGTCTTTCATTGTTGTGTTAGAAATAATACTACCAGCTACATAGATGGCAATTAATTGTTGTTGACCTCAATTCCCTAACCTGTGAACTAAGAAATTAGTTTTTGCAATATCTAAGGTCTTGTAAATGCTCCCATGGGCAGGTTCTCTCTGAGAAGCGTGGGATCTCAACCCCAAGCCAAGCTCAGAGCACCGGAGTCAGGAAGAGGTGAGGTCTTCCAGTCAGGAACTTGATAAGGACAACAGTGGCCTTAAATGACACACTAGAGCCAATGGATTTAGTTGATATCTTCAGAGCATTTGACACCAAAGCAGCAAAATATTGCACATGAAATGTTTTCTAGGGTGGACCACATTTTAAAATATAAAGTAAGTTTAAATAAATTTAAGAAGATTGAAATCATATTGAGCATCTGATGTGACCATAATGGTATGAAACTAGAAATCAATCACAAGAAAAAAACTGAAAAACACACTAAGTTGTGCAGGCTAAATAACATGTCACCAAACAGTGAGTGGGTTAACAATGAGATCAAGAAAGAAATAAAAAGATACCTTGAACAAATAAAAATGAGAACACAAAAACCCAAAACCTATGGGATATAGCAAAAGCAGTCTTAAGAGGGAAATTCATGGCATTACAGGCCTGTCAAGAAACAAGAAAAATCTCAGATAAACAATCTGACATTACACTCACAGGAACTTGAAAAAGAAAAACAAAGCCCAAAGCGAGTAGGAGAAAGGAAGTAATAAAGATCAGAGCTGAAATAGAAGAAATAAGTATCTAAAAAATACAAAATATCAATAAAACCAAGAGCTGGTTTCTTGAAAGGATAAAGAAGATTGACAAACCTTTAAACAGCCTTATTACAACAGCCTAGTTACAACAAATAGATAACCATTTTTACAATCCATTTTCTCTTTCTATTTAAGGTTATTTTACTTGCCCTATCTTGAGGAACTTAATATTTCCTACAATAGTATTGCTGCTATTCCAAATGAAATCCAGAAACTCAGGTATTTTGAAAGTAGTAAGTACACGCAAAATCATTTGCTCCTGAAGGGTTTATTTAGTGATAATTTGATGGGGAGGATTGACACCATTCATTTATTTAATAACCACAAAATATATGTAAAAGCATAACATTTACCAAAATGTAACTTGAATGATTGGTATACATTATTTTTAGGACATAACATTATGAATAATTATTTAAAGGACAATACTGATGTCCACTTAATAAAATGACAAGCTGTTTTGTCCATTTTTTCATGTGTGTAGGTGTCAGTTTTATTTTTTATAAGGAAACACATAAAAAATGCCAATAACACACAATATAATTTTAATGCTAAGCTCCATTTCTTTCTCACATGAATTTTTAAAAAGTCTCCGAAGTTTACTGTCATCCTAGGTGAGTACTGTAGTATTTTGATTATTACTTTAGAATCATTTTTAATAATTGTCGGGAGGATTAGATTTCAGTGAAAGTCTCTTACCTGTTGTCTGTAGGTCATGACCTTTAAGATGTTGGATGCGATTCCAAGTCCCTCCTCACCTGAAACACACAAACACAATGTTAGGGTTTGAATTGGAATTGTCTTGAGTTTACACACAAATTTTGAATTTATATTTCTGATAAATTTTTTCATCCTAAAACATATTTTTTCATTTGTTCAGATCTTATGTTCTTTATAAGAATTTATGACTCACTGTACTCTATATTTCTTACTAACCTTTCTAAATATTTTATAATTGTATTCCTCCTGGGAATGTAATATTTTCTCTTAAGTTTTATTTCTAGTTGACTATTGCCAGTACAGAATACAGAGAAGCTATGTATTTCTTTATATTAATTTGCAAATCTATTTATCTATCAGTTTTAGTTGAGTTTTACTAAATTGTCATTGGTTTTCAAGAAGCACAACATTATCTTCAATAAAACTAGATAATTTTTCTCCAATTTTCTCTAATATTTCTACCAATTATTTAATTTCCCACATGGCAATCTTTGTATTTAATAGAGGAATAGAAGTTGTTCCCATTTGTTATGACTGATATATTTATTTTTTGCCTTCCATTTTACTTTGTATTTACTATTTATTTACTTTCTCCTTTTCATATATATATATATATATATATATATATATATATATTTAAAAATTTTAGGACATCACTTTTCTTTTTTTCTTCCTTGTTAATTTTGGAACTTGACAGTGCTTCCCAGTTTGTTAATAGCTACCTTTTCTTTCCCAAAACTCATAAATACATGTTTTTTTACTCTTTTATAAAAAGCAAGGCAACAGCTGCTGTCCCCTCCTACCCAGGCTGTCCTCACCGGGCGCCCCACCAGCAGTGGGGACCTGGAACGCTCTCCTGTCCTGTTTTCCTCCTCGTAGCATTCACCTCTGACCTAATTACCTGTTCTGCTGAGACAGTGTAGGCACCTTTGTTTGGGATTCCCTTTAGCATGGTTCTTGTCATTCTTTTTATCAAAAGATTATATTCAGCACTTAGCTCTCACAGCCTCATAAGCAGCACAGCTTGTCCTGGGGCTGGCCATGTCCCGGGGCTAGCCGTGTCCCCCTCCGACCACACACACTCCTGCAGCTTCCCCAGTCACAGCCTGAGGCCAGTTCCATTCCCTTCTCTCTTTAAGTGGTTTTTATTATTTATCTGAAAACGACTGTGATTCTCTCATTACCTTGATTTTCAGGAACTTTACCAAATTATTTTTAGGATTATGTCTTGTTTGTTTTTTTTTTTAAACTTGTTTGGAGTGCTGTGCACCCAGTTCCGCTCTGGTAGGCGGATAAATGGTAAGGCAATTCTTCGACAAGGTGGATCAGCTTCCAATTTGGTTTTTATGTCTCTCGTGAATAGATCCTTTTCTGACTGTTTTTCAGCACCAGTTAGAAAGGAGGTAAGTGACTGCAGAAAACACATCAACACAAGGCTTCAAAAAATGAGAAAATCAGTAATGTAGGTTCTCTCTGAATAAAGGAAGGAGGCTTATTAGAAGCAACTGACACAGTAAAAACTGAGGGGACTCAGGTGACGCAAAATCAAAATACAACACAGCACATTTTGATAGTGTTAATTTCACTGTTTTGATTGCGCTTAAATAAAAAAATACGGAATGACGTTCAATTTGTCTATGAAAATAAACTTTCTTTGTATCATTATGCCACATGTGGTATATTCTATGTGGTGCAACAGTCATCATCCTGCTGTTTGTGATTTTTTAATATGGTAATGACATGTCACAAGACCCAAAATACATGCTTTAATTCTACGATTCACACGTATGAACTTTTTTGCATAATGATATATTGGTTCAGTTGCTTTTTAAGTTAATTCTTCTGATTCTGAGGAAGTACTTACACCCTTATCTTTTATTGTCACTGAGTTTTATAATACTAATTTTAGGGAGCACAGGGGCAGAATGGCAGTTCAGTGTTGTAAATTGCATGGACACCTTTTAAAGTGTGGCCCCTTTATCTGCAGGTCACTCAGACAGTTGCTTGTTGATGGAAATGACTTGACATCCTTTCCACCTGGGATTCTGAAGCTTCGCCTGAAAAAAATCCAGTTTGATAATAACTTCACTCATCCTTATCTTTGGAGAGAGAACTCTTTGAACAGTCCACAGAGTCTTACTCAAGTTGCTTCGCTGGCCTTTCTAAAACATGATCTAGATAAATATTATGATGTGATCCCAGAGAAAATCCAACTGTTACTAAAGGGGTAAGCAAATCACAAAGCCCTTTTAACCAAAGTGTGCCATTAAGCATTTGAAATGTCCTTCCTCCACTACAGGCTCAGAGGACAGTTTTACTGTGAACACACACACTCAGAGCCCGCTACACACACACACACACACACACACACACACACACACACTCGTTTCTGCAGATGTTGCCTGACTAGGAACTGAACCAGCAACCTTTCAGTTTGCGGGACAGCGCCCAACCCACTGAGCCACACCAGTCAGGGCTCCTTTATTTTTTTACCATTCACTTGCTCACTTGTATGTATGTCTTAGCTCTTCAATTAGATGGTAAGGTCAATGATGATGAAGGTCACACTTCCTACTCCTTTGAGTCTTGCATAGCACCAACCGAATGTCTTTTCCGGAGCAGACATTGACTGAAGGTCAACGCTTCTTCCGTTGCAGCGCATCCAAGTGCGAGTGGTGCGAAGGCCCCAGGTTCGGTGAAGGGTACCGCGTCATCCAGTCCTGCAATGTGTTCGGAGTGGCACGCCTTCCCGTGATGTTCCGCGTCTGTTCCTCTTCTTGCTATCGAGCAGTGAATAAGAAGAGTGTGTTCTAGATGGTGGCCCTAGTGACGGCGTAGCTGCAAAGTCTGACTTGATGATCACACCGTCATTTTTGAATCCCACTGAGCCATTCAAGCTGATGTGCATGGGATTTCGCTTCTTCACACGTAGGCTGTACATGGCACAGGCTCAGTGTGGAAGGCGTTAGTGCCTTCTCCTGGGGATCTTCTCTGTGGTCCTTGCTCCTTAGGGAGGCTGCGACTGCTAGGGACTTGCTGCAGAAGAGTCGGTGCAGGATTTGGGGTTTCAGTGATGATCTAGAAAAGTTCTTTCAGAGCGTGTTTCCTATAAAAAAAAGATGTGAGCATCTTCTGCGGAAAGACTGTATCTTATAACTGGCCTTTCCATGCATCCATTCTAAGTGAGAAGATAACATTTCAAGATGCTCAGTGGGGTTTTGCTTCCCATGGTTTCAAAGGCACGGGTCCAAGTTCCTGACGTGTATGCCTTTCGGTGGAAATCCATCCAGGGCCAACTGTCTCAACTGTAGATCACTTTGCAAAATAAAAGATCAACTCCAGGCATGTGTTTGCTTGTCTGGATTTATTACCCAGGCTCTCAGAAAACTGGCTCGATGTCTCACTCCCACTGACCCTCATCTCCTAAAGCCCAACTCCACAGATGACGGCCAGCACTCAGTAGGCTTCGGTGCTAGTCTGGTGGGAAGGTGCAAGCAGGCTTCCGCAACTGCCTGGCAAAGCCGCGTATCAGGCAGTGGCGCCTGAGGCTTTGAGTTAGTGTTTGGTAAGGGGGAGGTGAAAGCGCATTTTCATATAACCGACAATTTTAGAATGGCGCAAATTGTTTCACAAATGGCGTGACACTTAGATGCAGTCGACCTAAATCTAAAATGTCACTGCTAATTAAACAAGTGAAATGATTTAAATTTATACATCTGTCTTATCATCAGAGAATGTCAGAAAATACACATTCTGTCAGATCTGTGTGTATCATTTAGTAACATTATTTAAATCAAAGATAATCCAGGCAAAATGATTTTGCTGACTGTTGATTTAAATAAATTGGGTTGCTTGTATTCTTCTCCTTGAAACTCAGTTTGATTTTAAGCAGAAATAAGAAAACCCTGTCTGAGAAGTAGACACTGTATTCTCCAGCCAAATATCTATATTTATGTATATATATTTACCTATGAGAAGTAACTACCACATCACACAGGACGTCCGAAAGGGGATATTTATAGCATGACAAGTAAATTCATTAAAAATGTAATTTACCCATAATTATAAAGCAAAGTAGAAAATAAAATTAAATCCTTGTGACATATAGCCTATTAATACTCATGCTTGTCCCTGAAATATTCCTTACAGGAAGAAGTACATTTATTTTTAATTTTTAATGAGTTGCTTTTTCGGTCTGAGTAGCAGAGTGGTGTCCCATTGAGTTAGGGAATGAACTGGAAAGGATGAATTAAGGAAAATGAGAGTATCTTAGACCCTGCAGAGGAACACATACACCTAGACACTGGGACAACTGTGAAATATACTTAAAGACCAGTTTGACCATCTCCCCATGGATAGTATGAACCTCGACTCTAAGTGACCTTGTATAGTTCTTTTTAAAGATAGCGTATGTGCCCTGGCTGGGGCAGCTCAGTTGGTTGGGAGATGGCCTGCAAACAGAAAGGCTGCCAGTTTGATTTTTGGTCTGGGTTCACACCTGGGTTGCAGGTTTGGTGCCCAGTCAGGCAGGGCACATACCAGAAGCAACCAATCCATGTTTCTCTCCCCCTCTTCCTCCCTTCCTTACCCCTCTCTAAAATTTTTTTAAAAAGTACCTTGTAGTGTGTTTTTATGATAAGACATACTTATCATAGAAATATTTTAAAATAGAACTAAGCCTAAGAAGGAAAAAAAATTTCCCTTGCAATGCTACCACGCAATGAAGAGATAATCATTTTGCAACATATATGTGTATAAATACACATTTTATAATTTATTACCTTTTAAAATGGGATTATCTGCCTCATACCACACAACAATTAATTTTCAGATGCTTAAAGGTCTAAACTGAAAATATATTAAAAAATAGTCTCTTAATAAAAATTTAGAATGAGAAAGATCTTTTTAATCAGAAAGTAGAAACCCAAAAGAAAACATGAACAGATTTACTATGTAAAACTTTTGAAATTTCTACACAGGCAAAACCACAATAAATTCACCTATTATGAACTATCAAAAGGGAAATTAATGAAACAATCCCATTTACAATTACATTAAAAATAACTTGGAATGAATTTAACCAAAGATATAAGAGACTTATACTATGAAAAGTATAAGACACTGAAAAAAGTAATTGAAGGTCATACAAATAAATGGAAGTATATACCATGTTCGTGGGCAGCAAAAATTAACACCATTAAAATGTCCATACAGGACTTCGACCAAGATGGAGGTGTAGGTGGAAGCACTGTGCTTTCTCACACAACCAAATTTAAAAACAACAAAGTTTTAGCAATAAAAACACAGCCAAACCACAGAAAATTGAACTACACAGAAATCTGACAACAACGAAACCTTCAGCCAAACTGGTAAGAGGGGCAGAGCCAGCAGCAGAGTGGGGTTGGGCAGGAAAGATCCACCGGACAGACCTGGGTGCTTGACCCAGGTACGCCAGCAGCTGTGGGCAGATCCCAGGTGTAGAGAAGCGGACGGACCCACTGAGGGTGCAAGACAGTGGACTCACTGAGGGCTGACCACAGTCACACATTCGCGTGCAGGTAAACTGGTGAAGGAGTAAGGAGGTAGACAGACTGTGCAGGCCCCAGTAGCAGGAAGCAGCAGAGGGAACCACCATTGTCCCTCTCTGACCCCGCCCCTACACACAGCATCACAAACCAGCAACCTGGGTGGCCCCGCCCTGGTGAACACCTAAGGCTCTGCTCCTCATACATAACAGGCACGAACAGATCAAAACATGGCTTAAGAACAACTCAGAGCCCCAGAGCCAATAAATCTAAGCGATGAAGAAATAGCCAAACTTTCAGAGGCACAGTTCAAAACACTGGTGATCAGGATGCTGGTCAACCAGAACTGGTTGATTTTAGTCACAAATTAGAGGAACATATGAAGGCTAAACTAATTGAAATGAAGGGAAAAGCACAGGAAACCAATAGTGATGGAAAGGAAATTGAGACTCAAATCAAAGGAGTAGACCAGAAGGAGGAAAAAAAATGAACAAACAGAAAAGGATGAAGAAACAAGAATTCAAAAAAATGAGGAGAGGCTTAGGAACCTCCTGGACATCTTTCAACATTCCAACATCCTAATTATAAAGGTACCAGAAAGGAAAGAGGAACAGCCACGAGTGAAAAACTTATTTGAACAAATAATAAAGGAGAACTTCCCCAATCTGGCAAAGGTAATAGACTTACAGGAAATCCAGGAAGCACAGAGAGTCCCAAAGAAGTTGGACCCAAGAAGGAACACACCAAGGCACATCATCATTACATTACCCAAGATTAAAATGAAGGAGAGAATCCTAGAAGCAGCAAGAGCTAAGGGGACAGTCACCTACAAAGGAGTTCCCATCAGACTGTCAGCAGATTTCTCAAAAGAGACCTTACAAGCAACAAGGAGCTGGAAAGAAGTATTCCAAGTCATGAAATCCAAAGACCCACATCCAAGATTGCTCTGCCCGGCAAAGCTTTCATTTAGAATGGAAGGACAGATAAAGTGCTTCTTAGATAAGGTCAAATTCAAGGAGTTCATCATCACTAAGCCCTTATTATATGAAATGTTAAAGGGACTTATCTAAGAAAAAGAAGATAAAAAATGTGAACAGTGAAAGGACAGCAAACTCACAGTTATTAACAACCACATCTAAAACAAAAGCAAACTAAGCGGACAGCTAGATCAGGAGTGAACCATAGAAATGAAGATCACATGGAGGGTTAGCAACAGGGGAGTGGGAGAAGGAGAAGGGGGTAGAAGGTACAGAAAATAAGTAGCATAGATGGTAGGTAGAAAATAGATAGGGGGAGGGCAAGAATAGTAGGGGAAATATAGAATCTAAAGAACTTGAGACACTTGGTCATAAACTAAAGGGGGGGAATGGTGGGGAGGTGTGCAGGTGGAGAGGAATGAAGGGGGGAATAGACCAACTGTAATGGCATAATTAATAAATATATTTTTTAATATGTCCCTACTACTGGAAGCAATCTATAGAGTCAATGCAATTCCTATCAACATACCAACTGCATATTTCACAGAACTAGAACAAGTATTCCAAAAATTTATATGGAACCAGAGAAGACCCTGAATGTCCAGCCTCAGCAATCTTGGGAAAGAAGGACCAAGTTGGAGGAATCATGCTACCTGATGTGACTATACTACGAAGCTATAGTAATCAAAACAGCATGGTACTACCATAAAAGAACAGCCATATAGATCAATGGAACAGAATGAAATGTCCAGAAATAAACCCATGCCTTTAGGGTCAATTAATATGTGACAAAGGAGGCAAGAACACACAATGGGTAAAAATCATTTATTCAATGAATGATGTTGGAAAAATTGGACAGATACCCGCAAAAAACTGAAACTAGACCACCTTCTGACACTGAATCAGGATGGAGAGATAGTCCATGGGAGAGCGGGGTGTGGGGGAGGGGGACAGATACAGCTGATTACAGCCCCCACTCCCCACTCCGCTGTGGGTGCCAGGCCTGACCCCATACTGTTCTCAGTCCTTTGGTTTGGAGTGGGATTGTCACGCTGGGCTGGATGCTTTGTGGCTCAAATGGGCGGGAAGGACCGATGGGCCTGCCAGAGGTATCGCTCAGAGGTTCTCAAGGGCTGTGGAGAGGAAGGGGCAAGTCACTCCACACCGACCCCCAATGCCTGCCCCCCTCACTGGGTACCACTTGCTCAGAAAAGCGGCCCCTCACCATTAGGGCCCTTGGAGCCTGCACACAAGGCTGGAGTTCAGGGCCCTTGGACCACCTGTCTCTTTGGAGAGAATTCCCACCCAGCCT